ATATATATATATACATGTATATGCATACACACATTCTTCACCCCTAACCTTTCCCCATTCCCAACCACTCCCTCTTTCTCTTTCCCTAATCTTTCCCCTTTCCCCAATCTTTCCCCTTTCCCCAATCTTTCCCTACCCCAACCTTTTCTCCACTCCCTTGCATTACGAAGTTATATCTGACGACATTTTTTGGCCGTTTTGAATTACCAAGACCATGAAGTCAGTAACAAAACTTACTGTCTGCTCTATCAAAATCGTAAAATTATTCGGAATCGTTAACAAGATATTCAAAGAATTGCTTTTCGTTACTTAGAATTAATACAATATTAAAGATAAACTAATTTGTTCATTGTTATGGGTTTTGCTCATTCGCATACGCCATGCGTAATCACAGTAGGTTAATTCCAATTGATTACTTTTGGGTGACGTAACCCTAGCACACGTTAATAGAAGAAAATCTACGCAATAACATGTAAGTATCTGGTCTGCCTTTTAATGACTGGCCTTATTTTTGCACATTTAGATGTCTTTTTAAAAATCACTAAGGGTGGGTAATTGGGCTTTCTTGGTTTATCCGCGCAAGTTTGAGTGGCTGTGGGAAAAAAAACAAGTTTGAGAGTCTGCCGGGGAGGACAAAGTTTTGTAAACGAAGAGGTTGTCTCTGCAAGATCAGCTCACTGTTCCTTCCGTTGTGGGGTTGAGAGTGTTGACGGTTATTGGGCCGTCCGTGGAGAGGGGACAACAACCCTACCAAACTCCCAAAAAAAAAAATCAAACAAAAAAGTAGCCCACAATAAGTTTCATCTTCATAAATTAAGATTTATGAAATGCAGAAAAGAGTTTTTACTTGAGAACTTACATCATCCCTAGGGCCTGGCAGTGAAGTGATTAAGAATGTATACACCAAAGGTTCATATCGAAGAACAAGCGCTTAGGGTGCGTGTCCACTGGAACAGACACCAACCGATCCGATTCCGTCTCTCGGAAAGCCGGTAGTTGAAATGGAGCACCGCTTTATTTCCCAAAGAAATCAGTGAAAATTCAGTTTGGCTGTATCAACAGACATGACACGACACGCCCCGACAAAAGAAGTGTCGGTTGGAAAGACACTTGCTTATTTTTTAAAGCCGGGCCGTGTGGTGGTGACTCATCAGCCATAAACCTCACGGAGCTAAAAAAAAAATTCCAATTTTGAGTTCGGATTAGAAATCTAATGTCTTATTCGTAATCATCGCCTCAAAATTAGCAAAGTCAAAGCGCAAACCACGTGGTTTGAATGCATATTAACAATTTTATCAGTTTTCTTTAAATAGGCCCCGCGGAGCTAAAAAAAAATTCCAATTTTTAGTTCGGATTAGAATTCTAATGTCTTATTCGTAATCATCGCCTAAAAAATTAGCAAAGTCTAAGCGCAAACCACGTGGTTTAAATGCATATTAACAATTTTTCAATTTTCTTTTTTAAAAAACATTCAATTCTTTTTCCCGCCTTGGGTTCATGTGACCTCTTGGCTGTTTATAGCCCCGTACCGAGAATACAGCCCGCTACGACAGCGGTCTTTACTTTCGTACACATCCGAGGAATAAGTACAGGCCAACAGACAAGACGGAAACGACTCGACCTATTTTCCTCCTCCCGACAAAAAAATCGGGTCGTGTCTGTCCCAATGGACACAAGCCCTTAGTAGTCTTAGCGTAATTTAACAGTTAGATGATTCACCGTCGCACGCAAAAGACGTGAGTTTGATTCCCATACGATGAAACTCTTTATTGAGTATCTCCGTCCTTCTGCTGGAACATTGTATCCCTCTCAGACCATGGTTGGCCATGACAGCAGCCCGCCTCCTAAACGATCTAACGTGCGACAACAGGGACGTAAAACACGAACTGCTTGGGGGTTTTTTGTTAGTTTGAGGAGGGGGGTTTTTGGTTGGGGGGTTTTGTTTGTTTGTTTGTTTGTTTGTTTGTTTGTTTGTTTGTTCTGTTTTGTATCGGTTTTATCTCTCAACAAGTTTCTATTTCGAAAAAAAGAATGCGAATGCGTGCCTAAAATACAGAGGTACAGCGTCAGATTGCTTAATCCTTTTCTGTTTTAAAACAGGACAAAAACCTCTTTACTGAAACAGACTAGTATCTGCTCAAGAATCCATCAACATTGCCTCCTCTTTTCCTAGACTGACCATGTGTGACCACTTCAGGCCGCACAAGCAAGTCGTCATATTGGTCAAGTGTAACCCGGAGTACATGTACATAATGCTGTGCTCTCCGACAAGCACTCTTTACCTTATTTGGAGTGGCACTGTAAAAGCTCGTTTTGGGGTATGAAATGGGGGAGGGAGGGGGGTTAGTACATTATACCAATATAGTGTATAAGTAATATA